AGCCCACAGAACTTTGATCTGCCCTGGCGAGAGTGGGGCCTGTAGTCACACAAAACACAGCCGCCTTTCCAGTCAGGGGCTGAGGGCTCCCTGCTGGGACTCTGCCCACCCCACCTCTCCCTGCTGGGTCATGTTCTGGCTCTACCCCAGGGTGTTCACTTCTTCCCACCCACGGAGCAGCGCTGGCCCAAGGGCCCCGGCTCCTTTCTGAAAAGAGGCCTGGACTGGGTTTGGTTCCAAGGATTGGGTTCCATCATTCACTCAACAAGAGTCTGAGGGTCACGCCCTGGGGTGGGGGTTAGCGCAGCACCCAGAAGCTTGGGCCAAGGCTGAGAAGGGCCCATTCGTGAGGTCTGGGAGACACTGTGCCCAGCCCTGGGCTGGGACAAGCTGGGAGCTCCTGTTTCCTCTGTCAAGTCGATGCCGCCTGGGCCACCTCCCCCAGAGGCCTCCCCTCTTCTCCAATCCTGGGGCCTCTCCCTGCTCCAAACTGGATGCTCCTTGAAGACAGGGCGTGCTCTTTACACACATCCCTGCTGCAAGCTCCCCCCCACCCAAGGCAGGCCTAGACCTCGCAGGGAAGGTGCACCCAGCTGGGGACACATGGGTCACCCTTGCCCTTCTGCTCAGGAAGCAGCCCAAGCAGCCCTGACTCTGATCCTTCCTGCCCAGCCTGTCCCCTCACACTGCTCACTCTGCCACACTCTTTTTTCTTTTTTTTTCTTTTTTCTTTTTTTTTTTTTTTGAAACAGAGTCTGAAAAAACTGTAGACATGATCCACAGTGCCCAGACTTCACTGAATTTTTTATCCCAAGCCACCATTGTCCAACAAAACAAGAGTTACACACATACTTTTACATTTTCCAGTGAACACACACATTTTACAACCTTAAAAGGAAAAGGTGAAATTAATTTTTTTTTTTTTGAGACAGAGTCTCACTTTGTTGCCCTGGCTAGAGTGAGTGCCGTAGCGTCAGCCTAGCTCACAGCAACCTCAAACTCGGGCTCAAACGATCCTCCTGCCTCAGCCTCCCAGGTAGCTGGAACTACAGGCATGCGCCACCATGCCCGGCTAATTTTTTCTATATATTTTAGTTGGCCAATTAATTTCTATTTATAGTAGAGACAGGGTCTTGCTCTTGCTCAGGCTGGTTTTGAACTCCTGACCTCGAGCAATCCACCTGCCTGGGCCTCCCAGAGTGCCAGGATTACAGGTGTGAGCCACCACACCCGGCCAACTGGAAGATTTTTAATGCATCTCTCTCAGTAAATAAAATGGGGAAAAAAACAGCAATATAAAATATTCAAACAGCTCAACTAATAGCTCCATTATATGGAACGCCACATTCCAAATTCGAGAAAACATATTATGCTCAATCACAAGTGGAATATTTACAAAAATTACCACATATTAGTCTAATCAAGTCTCAATAAATAGCAAAAGATCAAGAGGATTAACATGATGCTCTCTGGTCACAATGTAATAAAGTTAGAAGTCAATAACAGGAATAATCCCTTCCCCTACAAAAATCCCATGTGCTTGAAAATTTTAAAACACTTGAAATGTTCAGATTTTTTAAAAAATGGAGGCTAGGTGTGGTGGCTCACACCTGTAATCCTAGGACTTTGGGAGGCCAAGGTGGGAGGATCACTTGAGGTCAGGAGTTCAAGACCAGCCTGAGCAACATAGTGAGACCCCGTCTCTACAAAAAATTTAAAAATTAGCTGTGACTAAGCAGATTCTGCCCTGACTTCATTCCCTGAGACGAGGAGAGCCAGTCAAGAGGCTGGGACAACCTGAAGAAGAAACAGGAGGCAGGAAGCACCAGGAAACTGAGCTGGTTGAGGCCAGTGGCTCCTGACCCCTGCTCGGTTCCCCAGAGGGTGGGTCGTGGGTGCCTGGGGGCCAACTGGGACACTGGGTATGTGGAGCCCCGGGGGTTAGAGACAGGAAAGGGGCAGCCCCAGCACTGCGTCCAACCCAAAGAAGCCATCTGTTGTTTTCCCTCTAGAAAACCAACTAGTTTATTTTTTGAAATAAACTTTATTTTTACAATTTTAAATGGACATAAAAATCGTGAAGATAGTACAAAGATCCCATAACCCCCTGCTACAGTGCAAATGTGTCCCCCAAAGTTCAAGTGCTGGGAACTTCATCCCCAGCGCAACGGTTTGGGAGGTGGGCCTAATAAGTGGGGATTGGGCTGTGGGGGCTCTGCCCTGCCGAGGGGATTGACGTTGCTATCACAGGAGTGAGTGGGCTGTTATCAAGCAAAGCCCACCCGTCCTGCTCTCTTGCTGTCTCCCGTTCTCTCGCCCTTCCGCCTGCAGCCATGTTGGGGCAGCTCCCAGGGGAGGCTGGGAAGAGGAGGCCCTCACCCAGCCTGCAGAACTGTTAAGAAATGCCTTTTCTTTATAAATTACTCGGTCTGTGGTATTCTGTTATAGCAACACAAAAATGGACTGAGACACCCACTCTATTTCCACTTCCCCTATTATTGACAACTGACATTAGTGTAGTACCTCTCTTACAATCCGCTGCCACACCTCTGCGCTCAGGGGAGGCCGGGAAGAGAAGGCACCGCCGCTCTGGTGGGAGCAGGAGAAAGACTGCAAGCCCCACAGTGAGCTGTGGGGTGCAGGAGACATAGGAGGCTGGAGAGGCCAGCAGGGAGCTGGGACCAGGGCCCAGTGATCCCTCGGATCAGACCCCGGTGCCTTGCAGCAGCTGCCTCTTCAGGCCACAGTGCTGGGCCTCAGGAGTTCCCCACCGTCACCAGCCCACCCTGCTGTTTTCCCACCCTGAGCCAGACTCCCCCTCATCCATCCCCGCCAGCAGCCCCAGCAGCCCTCATAAATCAGTCCCTCCTGCCCTTTCATCCTCTTGCTCATCGCAATGCCTGCAGCCATCTACCCACAGCCTGTTGGGCCCTGGGATCCTGGAATAAAACTAAAACCTCCCTCTGGCCACGTTTCGGGGTCCCAGGGAAGAAGATGCTCCAGGGCTGCAGTCAGCACCTGAGCAGGATTTCTCCTTGTTCTGCCGGGTTGGGCCTGGCTGTTCAGGTCTTCCTTTCCTATCCAGCCTGGCCCCTGCCCCTCGTTAATTGCCTGGAGGCCTATTCGCATTTGCTTCTGCCGAGAGCTGCTTGCCTCCCTGCAGGGTAAATGCCTCCAGGTGGCCTTTCAGGAGGCTTTCTGGTACCTACCTCTGAGTGTCCCAATTGTCCCCTAGATCTACCTGAGGGTGGGGCAGCTGCTAAGGATGTCCCCCAGGCTTAAGGAGCCTGCCTGGGCACAGCCACCTTTCCTTCGTGCCCAGATGGTGCCTTTCCCAGTGTCCTCGCCTCTCCCACACAACACTACGAGACTGGCGCACAGATATCATTGTTCTGTTTTAGAACGCAGAAGAGAGAGGCTCGGAGGTTAAAACGCTTTGGCTCGAGTCCCACACGTGGACAGATGGTCAAGTCACCCTATTAGATGTTTTCATGGTCCCTTGTATCATGCCTCCAAGGACTTAGGACATTTGCAATTTTATATTTTATTTGTGTTTATTAAATATTTTATATTATTAAATATTAAATTATTAAATATTTTATATTTATTGAATTCTCCAGACTGTAAGTCCTATGAGAACAGGGAACTTGGGACTGCTTCGTCCACCACTCTATGCCCAGTGCTTTGCCCTACTGCCTGGTATATATTAGATGCTCAATAAATGTTTTTAAATTATTGAATAAATGGATAAGTTATAAGAACATTTGTTCATTCATTCACTCAGCAATAGACTGAGTGTCAGGCCCTTTGATGGGCCCTGGGGATAAAAGAGGAATGAGATATGGTCCCACCCTTGAAGAAATCAGTTTTGTGGGCAGACTTGTAAGTAAAAAATTACAACACAATGCAGAAAATGCCATAATCCAGGAATGTCAAAAGTGCTGTAAGAGAACAGAGGTGATAAACTCTTCCCAGAGGGTCAGGAAGGCTTCAGAGAGGAGGGGACTTGAAGGATGAGTGGCAGTTTACTTCCTGGAGGAGGGAGGAGAAGGGGGGGTGAGGGAAGGGCATTCTAGACCAAGGTCAGTCCTACAGGGGAGCCACCCCACGTGGCAGGACTTGAAGCCAGGCTCTTGGCTTTTCCCCTCCCCCCCACAGGAGCCAGAGATTTCCCAGGTGTGCCCCGCAGGCTCAGGGCCTGGCAGGATCCCATGGGGTCCAATCCAGAGTGCAAGGACTGCCACCCTCCTGTCATTCTCCTTTGATGATGGGATGCCAGAAGCCTCATCCACAAGGGAGTTCACATCTGAGCCAATTTGAAAGAATCTTATGAGATTCCTCGAGCCAAAAGCTCAAATACAACCTATCTAGTCTGCTCATTCCACTCTCTCATCTTGTAATTCCATCCAACACATCAAGTCCGTGGGTCACGGCTGTCTGCAGACAATTTCACACGGCCTTTCTTGAGCTGTTTCTCTTGTTCACTCTTTTCTTTGACAGAGATTTAGATTCAGCCCCAGATACTGCTACCTTTTCCATTCCTTGTCGTCGTTCAGGTTGCGGGTGAAATGTGCAAGTGCACAGGTGTACATGAAAGCGGTGTTGGTGCTCTTGGGGGCAAGGTGAGCTGTGGGCTTCACCAGAGGTGTGAAGGGAACAGGGCTGATTGTAAGTACCAGAGAGAAAGGAAAATGTAATCGACTGTGCGGGGAGGAGGAGGGCGTTATAGGTAATAATTTAGGGGTGCCACACTGGGATATGTAAGTTGTGTCTGATAGGGAAAAGGATCCTGTGTCACAGTGACCAATGTCATCCAAAGGTGGTGTCAGCTCAGTGGAGCGATGCAGGCCACTTGCACCTCTACATTTTGAAAAATTTTGAAAAAGGAACCCAGTAATTTTCACCTAAAAATCAATGTGTGGGTTTACTTTTTTTTGCCACCTATTGACATATACACAAACCATCCCACCCGCACCGGACCCTTGGAGTCCTCCCCTGCTATTTTGCGTCAATTTTATTCTTACTTGTATCTTTACAGAAAATGGCACAGAAATCACAGGTTTAGATACCTAGAAGTTATTACAGTTCCATATTTCAAACACCTCGATATCAAGTTTCTTTCTTACTCTATGTACATTATTTACACACCAGGGGCTAGTCTAACACTTCAAACAACAGAGAACAAAGACAAGAAGAACTAGGGAGTTTCATGAATGGAATGAAGAAGAAATCAACTTTTGATACAGAATTAAAATCGCAGCTCACTGTCTCAGGCCTTTCTCTGGCGAGGTATTCCCTGCAAAGGTGGGTGGGAGGGTAGAAGGAAATGTCACAGGGGTGGGGGAATCGTGTGCCTGACCTGGGAATCCGGGTGCCCCAGGCTCAACTAGGCTATGTGTCCCCATTTCTAATGGGAATGGCAAAGGCTAGGGAAAGGACAGCTGCAGAACTGACAGGCCCACCCACCAGCAGGCAGAAAGAAGTTCCCTGGCTCTTAGCCCATCGTGGTTACTGTGTCTGTCTTATTCTAGGGGACCTGCTTCCTGGCACACACCTAGCATGAAGTGTGTGTGCTTGCAGCTTAGTGTGGGCTTAACGGTAGCCTCCCCCCCTGCTGCCCTTCCCCACTCTTCTTGTGGCCAGCCCTCAACAGATGTGTACAGCCCCTGGCCCACCCCAGGCTTGACCTCTCTGGATCAAGTTGAGGACTGTGGCTTCCCAGGTGTCATTTAACAGCTGGACTGGGTTGCTCCAAGGCAGGGCACATGCAAATCAGAAGTTGGCAAGGGGCTCTGGGAGAAGAGGGCCTTCACGGCAAGTCAGGTTTATAGGTAGCATATTGAGAGTCAGGATGCTGCAGAACACAGGGCCCTAGCAGGGGGTTTGGATGCCACCACAGGCAGTGACCGTGGCATCTTAGAGAGGTGCCCCCTCACTGCAGGGCACAGGACTTGGACTCACTACAAGTATTGTACATCACCACATGCTGTGTTGTCAACTCTCACCTGGGAGGAACCGGTGGGGCAGGCTGGGTGTGGGGGAGGGTTCCTGAGGGTGACCACTGGCAGGGCATAAGACTGAGGGTGGCTAAGGGGCCCAGGCTGACACTTCCAAGTTTAGTCTGGAATCTGGACCCCACCGATGGGAAAACAGAGGTGGCAGAGGTTGTGCCTGGGCCTGCAGGGCAGTATCATCACACAGCAGAAGCCCAGGCCCAGGCCCGGGGGAAGGAACAGGCTGAGGTGGAAGAAGACTTTATGAGGACTGGGGCGCCTGGGCCACTGGAGCTACAGTGGGCAGGAGGGTCCGTGTCACAGCTGTGGCCAGCTTTGGGCATGGGAAAAGCAGAATCCACAAGGGGTGTAGAGCCAGGAAGGGGGCTCTTTAGAGCAAGAGGACGGAGAACAGGGTGGCTGTGAACAGTGAGAGGTGCCAGGGGATTGAGCGAAAGGGGCTCGAGGGCTGGTCTGGGGCAGCAAGAAGGCGTCTGATGCAGGGATGCTGGGATGAGGAGGCGGAGGCTGGAGAGGTGGAGACTAGGTCGGGGATGTCTCAGCGTGGTCCAAGCCACGGCCAGAACTGAGCTGTGCCTGCAGACACCGGGTGAAGGGGTCTGTGGGGGAGTGGAGGAGGGCAGAGGCTGGGCCTGGGCCGGCGCCCCGAGAGCACCTCCCGCACCACACCACAGCCCTGGAGGAGAGCAGAGTCTTGGGGCTGCGGTGTCTGCACGCCCTTGACCTAAGCCATGTCCTCAAGCTGCGGCGGACTCAGCCTCTCCGCTGGCCTGTCTTCGTCCATGGCCTCCTCCTCCGGCTTCTCGGCATCCCGGGCCAGGCTGTCGGGCCCAGACACAGTCCCCAGCACTTTGGTGCTGTGCTCCTGAGCTTTGGCTCGGAGCGCTGCGATGCTGTTCTCCCTCAGTTCCTCCTGGGAGATGGCCGCCTGGGGGTCGGGGCCCCGCTCCTCCTGCTCCACCTTGTCCAGCTTGGGCAGGGCCTGGCGTTCCACCTCGGGCTTCCTCCCCGACTCGGCTGCCGCCTCCAGCGACTTTTTGTGCATCCCTAAAAAGAATTGTTGGTATTCGGGTTTAGAAAAGCGCCTGGGAAAGCCATCTTGAACTGAAAACAGCAAAGATAGAGAGAGGCCAGAATTAAGGACAAGCAGAAAGCCTTACTTCCCACGCCGCAGTCGCCCAAGTCCCAGGGCCGAGTCCCAGGGCCAGGCTGGGGTCAGGGGACGGGGAGGGTGGCTGGGGGAGGGCTGCAGAACCGCAGCTGGTAACCAGGCCCTGGGAGGACTTCTCACCGCACCCCTGCACCCCTGGGCCCCGGGAGCCTGTTTTGTTCTTTCCAGGCCACAGCACTTGCTCCCCCGCCCCTCCCTCCAGGGATTCCAGATCTTAGAACCCCAAGACAAGCTAGTGCTGTTGCCAGACGTGGGCCCTGATGGCAGGTGGGGAAGGCAGCAGGTGGAGCGACTGGGGGAAAAGAAGCCCTTTGGGCAAAGCCAAAATGGTGGTGAAAGGGACCAGGGGTCCCCTCAACTGCCAAGGGGACTGTTCCAGTCACCATAAACCCACCTGGGGGGGGGAGGAGTACAGACCCCACAGCAACTGTCATACCCTCCTCACAGAACCCACAGAGACCCGGGGACCCAGTAGGTAGGTACAAGGGACAGACACCCGGCCCCAGGCCCACCTGCCCTGAGTGCCCCAAGGTAGACTGAGGGGCCTGCTCTGGAGGGCTGCCCTCCCTGCCCCAGGGCTCTGTCCCCTCCTCCAGGGGGCCGCTCGCCTCACCGCAGGGGCAGGGCCCCAAGGAGGGTGCAGGCCCTTACCCAGTAGCCACGGGGCACAGGAGTCCATGATGCCATCCTTGGCAGACTTGAGGATGGACTCGGGCAGGGGGATGGAGTGCCGCACCATGGCGCCGTAGAGCCCGTACTCCGCCATGACGCTGCTCCGGCCCCAGCACTTCTCCCGCTTCCTCCACTTGGCTCTGCGGTTCTGGAACCAAACCTGCAAGCGCAGAGGACAAGTCAGGGCTGTGCTCTGAGAGGCACGGGCCCTCGGGCCCTCACCCCCGTGTCTGCCTGGAGCGGAGGCTTCTCCAACAGACACCCTTAGCTACTCGCAGCCCCCTGGGGGTGGCCTGGGCTTCCTCTAAGCTCAGGGGCTGTTCAGATGGAGGAAATCAGTCCTGTGAGATGGGCAAAATGGGTCCCTTTTTTTTTCTTTTTTTAATTCAACGCAGTTCTAGGGAGATGGGATAAGGCCACTTGCTGGGACAGGATCTTGCAGGTGGGCAGGACCCAGGGTGGTTTTCAGTTTGCAGCTGAGAAGCCTGACCCGCCCCTGGCAGCTGTCCTGCACGTGCTCACACCTCCAGCGTATAAACAGGATCTCTTTCCTGATTTGCAGAAGGAAACACACTTTTCCCAGGACTGGACTAGCAGCATCTCTGGCTTAGGGCTCCCTCTCTGCTGGAAGCCCAGAGCCAGAACCATCCCGGGAAGCCGCAGGTGAGTGTGAGCTCAGGGAGCAAAGGGCATTTCATCCAGGTATCAGGAAGTAGGGAGGGGACACCCCCTGGAGGCCAGGGTCAGCCTCCCTCCTCCGCCCTGCCTGCCGCGTTTGACCCCAGTTACTCGCCGTCCCCACTTGGGGGCAGCCACCGCGCAGTCGGGGACGGAGCCCGCGCTCCGCGGGGCCGAGGGCGAGTGGGAGCGCGGCGGGGAAGGAGCTGGGGCACGCTCCTCTGGCGCCAGGGCTGACTGTGCAGGGCCTGAGCGAGGGCCGGGTCCCCTGGGGGTGTCCCCAGCACTCTCCCCATTCTTTTTTTTTTTGAGACAGAGTCTGGCTCTGTTGCCCAGGCTAGAGCGCTCAACCGCATTCTTGAAGGAGATCCCAGAATCCCTGCCGTGTTTGGGGAAGGAGGATTTCTTGGTCTCCCAAAGCAGCTTTCCAGAGACTTCCAGCAGCTCACAGAGCCAAGAGCTTCGCCGGCTCGGTCTTCCGGGCGGCGGGAGGCCCGCGGGAAAGCGGCGGCGCTAGAAAGGCCCCAGGCCGGGCCGGTGCCTTCTTACCCCCGCAGCCCTGCGGCCCGGACCGGGCGGCAGTCGCCCGAGGCGCCCGCGGAAGGAGGGCCGGGGAGGGGCAGGCGGGCCCCGGGAACCCACCCTCTTCCCCGCGGTTGCCGCGCCCCTCCCCCGCCGCGCCCCTCCCCCACCCTCCCCCTCCCCCGCCGCGCCCCTCCCCCGCGGCCGAGGTATCAGCTCCTGATGAAAAATTGCTCCCGCGCTATTCAGGAGGCGGCAAAAGAAGAGTCACCCCCAGGGGCAGCCCTGGGCTGATTGAAAAATAAGTTAATTTCAGTTTGAATCGATGGGCCGCAGGCACTGAAATATCACGGGAAATTAAAGCGGCCGCTCTCGGGGGAGCGCGGCATTGACCCGCGCTAATTAATGCTGGGGAGGCCGCGCCGCCGCCGCTCCCGCTCCCCCGGGACCCCAGCACTTCTCATTTAACTAATTAGACGGGGAAAATTGGGTGTTAATTTGTTTAGGGTTTCCCCCCTCTCCCCGGCCGCCCCCTCCCGGCGCCGCCCCGCGCGGGGACGGACGCGGGCCCGCCGGCAGATGGCTGCCCCGGTCACTCCGCAATCTTCCCCGACTTGATTGCTTGATTAGGTCGTTAGCACATTAAAAAAAAAAATTGCCTGCCGTCTGGCGCTGGCGTGATGAGTGGGACGCGCGGCAGCGCCTGGGTAATTTATCTTTTTATACGGCGAAGAATTTGATTTCAATCTGCAGATATATGGGGCGCCTTTGACACCTGTTTAGCATCGCGCCGCTGACAGCTTAACCCCTTGCTGCCTCGGAGGGAGCGCGGGGCTGGGCCGCCCGCGCCCGGGTCCGCGCGCCCTGCGCTCCCCGCCGCCGCCGCCAGGTGGCGGAGTGAGCGCCCGGCGGCCCGCGGCAGCCCCGAGTCTGCGGCGGAGCGCGACCGGCCACACCCGCCAGGGGGCGCTCCGGCCCGCCCGCCTCGCATCCCCGGGCCCAAGCGGCCCCACGGCGGCAGAGACACTGCGGAAGGACCTCCCCGTCCACGCACACCCTTAAGTTGACCCAAACATGCGTAACCCTGTGTTGGCGTTTCTTCATTTGTGAATAACTAGGAGCCTCTAAAACTGGGAGCGACACGGCCTCTGATGCTCTAGGCCTCTCCTACCCCGGGGTGGCGCTGCCCCCTGAGTTTGGCACCTGCTCCTGCTCACTGGGAAGCACAGGTGCAAGGCCTCCGCCTGGTCCGGACCTGACCGCCCTGGTGACCCCTGCCAGGGACAGGGTTTATCTAATCTGAAGACCACCAGACGGCTGCCCTTCGTGCACTAGGAAATGGAGAGCGGTGAGCCGTTCGGGCTGCGTCCTGGCCTGGCTCCACTGCCTGCCTGTCTTGCGGGATGTCTGCCCTGCCCAGGGCCTGCGCTTTGTCTGGGGTCTCAGTCCTGTCCCATCTCCCTCTCCTTAGCATTTGGTCGCCCTCCACAATAACTCACTTGCCTCAAGCTGCTTTCTCCCACAGAGGAAAGATCTAAAAGCGCTAATCTACATAAAAGTATAAGTGACTTCTGGTTTTATCCACCTCAGAGGACAGCAAAGAATGAAACACCTGGTGATGGAATTCCAGGCACCAAGTCTGACCACAGAGGGTTGGGAAGGCTTCCTTTACGAATATAAGCAAGCCATCTGCTTCCTGGTCAGGAGAGGACCTGTCCTGCTTGAATACAGTGCATTATAAAACAACAAGGCCAAAAGCCCTTAACTGGAACCAGTGGGGCTGGACTGGAGAATATTTTGGAAAAGATATGTGATGCGTACACCGCATGTTACATAATGCCCTGCAGTGGCAGTGCCTCACAGTCAAACCCACCAGTTTTGATTTCTGCGCAAAATACATATTCACACCAATGGATAAATAAATTGCATAGGTTCAAGTCCAATTTTTGCTGTCAAATGAGTTTGATGCCAAATTTATGAAAGAACTTTCTGTTTTCATTGAGGTTTGAATTTAGAGAGTCTGGAAAAGGCATCATGGAATATCCAAAGACAGAGGGGCCCCTGCCACCCCAGGGTGGATACCTGGTAAAGGTACATTGCCCTGGCTTCCCCAGGAGTCCGTGAGCATCCGTGCTTGAGATGGGTGGGGCAGGCTCTTGGAAGGAAACAGCATCTTTAGGAACTAAAGCAGGGGTGCAGACTCAGGATTCAGATCATCTCTGGGGCCTCTAAACAGAACCATTTTCCTGGGTCTTCTGATTTGGGCAAATGAATCACTGGTCTGTAGATGAGACTTTGCCCACAGATACTCTCCCAGGGGAGCTGGTGCCAGCTGGTCGCTCAAACCAGAAGTCATCCAGACCTCAGTGATGGGCTCCTGGAATGCCTGGCTCTCTGTGAAGACCAGATGCTACTCCAATTTATGGAGGAAACCTGGACGGCCAAAACAATTTCTTTTTAGGACAGTTGGCAGGGAAGCTGTGGCAGTGGTGCCTTGGAGGGAAGTGGACAAGGGATTAGAATTAACCCTGACCACCCTTCACATCTGCCTTTCTAGTCCCTTCCTGGAATCAACCACATGTGTATAGAACTTAAAAATGTATAAGCAGTGTTGAGGTCAGCCAGTCCTGAACCGGAATTCCTAGCTTTGAAAAACACTGCTGTGTGATCTTGGGCAAGCAAAAAATAAGAATGCCTACTTTCCAGGGTTGTTTGTCTTTTCTTTTCTTTTGAGACAGAGTCTTGCTCTGTTGCCTAGGCTAGAGTGAGTGCCGTGGCGTCAGCCTAGCTCACAGCAACCTCAAACTCCTGGGCTCAATTGATCCTACTGCCTCAGCCTCCCGAGTAGCTGGGACTACAGGCATAAGCCACCATGCCTGGTTAATTTTTTCTATATATTTTAGTTGGCCAAGTAATTTCTTTCTATTTATAGTAGAGACGGGGGTCTCGCTCTTGCTCAGGCTGGTTTCGAACTCCTGACCTTAAGCAATCTGCCCGCCTCAGCCTCCCAGGGTGCTAGGATTACAGGCCACCGCACCCAGCCTTCCAGGGTTGTTTGGAGTATTAAATAGAGTAAGTGAGTGCCTAAACAAGTGACTGCTTGAAATACAGAAGGTGCTCAGTAAGTCTAGTTAAGAAAGTCAGTGGGAGCCTGCAGAAGGCAGGTTAATCAATGGCACTGCCTGTTGCTCTGGCCTCCTCCATATGCTCACTAGCAAGGCTAGACTGGCAAATGATAATAATATCAACAACTCCAGGAGGAGGGGAAAGGAAAGGACAGAACTGACCTTCAGGCTGAATACATTAATACAGGTAGTTTCCCTTGCAGGCATCTGGAGTGCCAAGTAGCTGCCCCTGAAACTCTCCCCACATTTCCACTATGTTCCAAGCCCCTGAGGCACCAATGCAGGAGGATACCCCTGCAGCACCCATATGTTCATGAGTCGTCTGGAGCTCAGAAGCTAGAAGCCCAAGGTTGGAGATCCCTGCTCTGCCTCTAGTTGCCTTTGTGGGGCATTTCTTAACCTTTCTGAGCTTCCCATTCCTCACCTGCCTGGAGATGCCACCTCCTTGTGGGTTTGTTGTGAACATTAGACGGTGTGTGGGAAATGCCTGACACATAGTAAGAGCTGAAACATGTTGGTCTGATGCTTGATGACTTCTGTGGACAAATGTGCAACAAGACAAGGCTTTGCTTTCCAGCTCCAGGACACTTTTCACATAAAATGACATCCTCCTGTCTTCCATCTTTGAGGTGCTACTTGGGCTCTTGGTTCTGCGAAGCCTATAATATTCCTTCAATCTGTCTCTTGCTCACTTTCCTGACTGCCCACTTTCTAGAAGAGACTGCTCCTTTCACATGGGAGTCTGGTCCCAAACTCTTCAGGAGATCTTTGCATCAAGGCCCCAGCCAGGACCAGCGCCCTGCCTTATACTTCAGGGCCCCAAGTACGTAAGGGACCCAAGGTGACATCAAAGGTTACCAGGTTTGGAGTCCCAGGCAAAGGTGAGTTGGCAGGATCTTTGAGCTTGGGAATGAGCCTGGATTTCTTGATACATTTCCCCTGAGTGGTGGAGCCTCTGCAACACTCAGAAAGCCCAGGTAGCACGGATGCCTCTGGCTGTCAACAGCAGAACTGGCAGGTGCCTCCACAGCTAGCAGAGAGGTGCCTGTGCCTCCAAGGGTGAACTGGACCCAGGGAACCCTTGCCAAATGGATGCTCCTCTGCCACAGGGTGCACAGCTAGCAAGCCAGGTGACCCTGTCAGCTCTTTCTCTGTGTAGGTAACTGCCATGGGCAGTGAGCAGTGGCCGTGCCCCATGCCTCCTCTTGTGTCTGCATTGTCATCTAGTCCCTGTCCTGAATGCTTCCATCCAGGCATCCCCACGAGACAACATGCCCAGGGCTCCTTCGCCCAAGGGGCTCGCAGGAGACCCTCTGCACTCCTTCCAGGATCGTCCCCTGACAGAGACATCTTGCATGACACATTCTGGTCTCCAAGCTTGCCACATGCCCTCAGACCTGGCTCTGTTAGCCATACACTGGGTGAGCGTCCATCACGTTCACCCGGCCTCCTTCTTCTCCTCTAGCTGGAAGCTGATGAATCTGGGCTCATTGCTGGTGTAATTTAACGGCTTCATGCTCCACATCCACTCAGCACTTCTGACACCATATTTCAGCGCACCCGTCCAGTCCAGCCCAGCTTGCGGCTCAGAGAAGCGGGGCCTTGTTGCAGCCTCTGATGTCCACTAGGGGGCAGCTCTGCCCACATTTCCGGGCAGCCCCAGGCAACATCCCTCTCTGCCCACCGACAGATCATTTTGTTCCTCACTCTGCCCCCGTCACCCAAAACTCCACTTTCTTCCACTCATATTAACCCAGGTAGAACACAGAAACACCTGCCCTGAGCCTCCAAACCAGTGTTTTTATACTGACTTCACAAAGAATCACCTGGAGAGAGTTTAAAACACACAGATGCCAACATGCAGGTGTTTAATTTTAAGCCAATTAAACCCAGAATTGCTGGGTGTGGGAGCCCCGCATTGGTATTTTAAAAATCTGCCCTGGTGATTCTAATATACATCCCGAACTGAGCTACACTGCAAACGCTTTCCCACCCAGGCACCTGTCTTTTTACTTCTGGAACATAACCCCTTAGTACTTTGTCCCTTCCCCCTGGGCAGGGACCACTTTATAAGAGGCAAAGTTGAGCAGCGCTAGTCAGAGAAACTAAACCTCACACTTCGACATACACGAAGCCGCTAAGAGTGGGTGAAATGTAGTCTCCGTTCACTTTGCACATCCATAGCTCTGTACTGTTGCATTTTTATAACAAGCACAATGTTTGTCAGAAAAAAATACTGTAAACAAATAAGTGGATATATATAGTGCCTGACTTCACAATTTTAGTAACAAGTGACCCCACAGAGGAAATGAGTCAGTCTGGAAATCCATTTCCTCTTCCCTAAGGCTGACATTTGGCAGGTGCTTCCAGAATGCCATATCCTGGCAATTTTTTGGCAGTCCACACAAAAAATGGACTGCATGCCTGAGTCTGACATGGAGACACAGTCTCTTCTCTTACCCTAACATTGCACCATGTGCCTCCATCCCCAACCCAGGGAGATGCAGAGTGAGTGAGGAAGTGCTCATCCTCAAAGCACAAAGCCCCCCCTGCTGCTGGGATTGGGCGATCCCCACTGTGCTTTGCATCATTACAGTCTGTAGAGAGAGGCATTCCTGTTTACCTCTGGGATCCACACAGTGGTGGCTGAGTCCTGGGTTTGAATCCCAGTCCTGTTTACTTTATCGCTCAGCCCCTCAGTTTCCTCATCCAGAAAATAGGTACAGGAATAACATCTAATTCATCTGGTTGTGAGGGAGTAAATGAGACAAATTACCATCTTTAAATTAGTAAATTACAAATTACTATCATTACTGTCTGGAACACTGATGAGTACTGAATAAATGCCAGTAATAACACCACTTGCAAAATTAGCATTTTGGAAAAATATTATAATCCTTATTTTATAAACGAGAATTTGAGGGGCTCAGAGTTTGGCTTGATGGCAGGGAGAGATGAGAAGTAGGAGTGTCTGACTTTTCACATCTGTGCTGTGGGTTCTCATTAGATATTTGACAGTAGACGTCAGACACACGCGGGGGTTTGCTCAGGTTGGCCCAGAAGGGATGTATGTCCAAGCTGTGCAGCCGTCCTGCACCCCCATTCCACCACTGGTGGCCCAGGGGTGTTGAGGGGAGGTAAGCCTGAGGAGGCCCATCCCTGGGAGGGACCCCACCTCTTTCTTTTCCAGGTGAGGAGGATGAGGCCCAGAGATGGGAGGTGGCCTGGCCTCTGCCACCCTGGTGGATATCAGAGCCAGAGCTACGATCTGGGTACCTGACTTCCAGTCCAATAAGCTTCCATTCCACCTTGAGAATAACTCCAGACCTGGAGCCTCTAATGACTCCTCATCTTCCCCCTCTTTTGCTGGCAGCACGCGCCAGTGCGCACACACACACGCGCACGCACAGTCCCCTGACCCAAAAGGGGGGGTCAGGGGCGGGGCCTGGTGCTGGAGTGGCAGCTTTCCATCTTTAAATGCACTGTCCCAACCTTATCAACACGTTGAGAGGAAATGGTGAGGAAGATAGCAATGTGGGGAAGCAAGGGCTCTGGAGTCTAAAAGGACTCAGGTCTGAATTCTGGCCTCTATGCCTCAGGTTCCCCATCTGTAAAATGGGACTATAGAAACTAGCTTGCTCACAGTGTTCTGAGGACTCTTTTCTGACTATGCATAAACTATCCCTGGAAGGAAACAAAGGATGCTGGTTACCAAGGGAGAGCCGAAGGTGGGGAGGAGGGGAGGGAGACTCATTTTTCACCCCTTTGAATTCATTTACATGAATTTATCCATTCAAAAAATGCTTTTGTTATACCTGAGTCTTTGTTTTTTAATAATAGTGGCCTGGTACTCAATAAATATTGACTATTTTTATAAAGAAGTTGTGATATACCCTCCCCCACTGACTTCAAATCACCTCTGCTCCCCCAGCTTTAAGGCAAAATAAAGACTTAAAACCCAAGAGGCAGGTGGTGAAAGGGGGGGCCTTTCTGTTTAGACCCAGGTTTGAGTCTTATGTCCTCCACTTTCTAGCTGGGTGGCCTGGGGCAAGCTGCAATGCCTCAGCTTCCTTGGCTCTAAAAGGGAGCTCATGGTCTCTACCCCTCTGGTTATCACTAGGATTTAGTGAGATCAGAGCTGACATTGAGTGAGCGGGGGCACGTGCCAGGCACTGCCCTGAATGCTGCACACATATGGCTCATTGCATCTGCACAAGAGGCTGGTGCCACTGTCACCCCCATTGGTCAGATGAGGACAAGGAGCTTCTGGGAGGGGAAGCCCAGCCACGAAGCCAGGCAGTCTGGCTCCTGAGTCAGTGACTGTAACCACTATACCCCCCTGCCTCTCCTGTGCTCCTCATGTATTTAGGAGAATGTCTGGCACATGGAAACTGTGATTGTTACTGATACACACCAAGATCTTTCCCACTTTGTTAGACACTTTGGGGCTAGACTGTTTAACAATTCAAACGCACCTTCTGGGGGCAGCATTTAGCCATGTGGTGCTCAAAGGGTTTGAGAGACTCTTGCCTCATTTCTCCTCTATGTACAAATTACAGAGCCAATCCTCAGGGTCCCAAGGGCAACAAGCTCTCCTTACTCCGCACCCCTGGATCCTTTGTGCTGGTTCTGGTGGCTTCAGACACCACCCTATGGACAACCCCCAGGCAACTTAAGGAAGCTAAGCATGGGCTCGCCAGGGCATTGTAGCAATGCAGTCACAGCCCAGGGAGAACCTTCCCACAAATCCTGAGCTCAGCAGGTTTCAAACCCTCCAGCCCCAACACCAGAGCCAGATTTTAGGACAGCCCACTGCAGGAAACAAGTGGCTCCTTCTTACTGGTCAATGTGCAAATGTGGGGCTGCCAACAGTGAGGGTTGTCAGCCCTCCTCCCACCACAGCCACTTGTCCTGGCCAACTCTGTGCTAATGAAGGGCAGGCAGGGGTTACCGCCACACAATTGGACTGGGCCTCGGCTTATACACACACACACACACACACACACACAATGCAGAATCAACACCCAGTTCACCCCACTAGAACCCAATTGGGTGGATGGAGGGTAACGGGTCCAGGCCACCATGAGTAATGCACCAAACATAATCTGCTTATGAATAATTGAGCTTATTGTTAGTGTCAATGTCTAAAGCCATTGGCTGAAATTCCAAATAGATTTCAAAAAGAGAGGAAAGAGAGAGGAAGGCCTTTCTGGAAAAGCAGCTCAAGGCCTCATTTCCCATCCTCTGGTCCTCCAGTGAGAGTACAGAGCAACCTATACACCTCATTTGGTTCCTTCTCTAGGGCTGTGGCCACCTCCCAGGCACACTCACACGGGGAGGGAGGCATGAAAGACCTTGCAGAGGAGGGCAGAGCAGCAGTCTCAGGGCGTGGGGACCTGCCCTGTCCACTCTCCTGCCCTTCTGTGAACTACTCTCTGGACCACTCAGGTGGGGGGGTGCAGCTTTCATTTAAGGTTGAGCTCTACCTAGGGCAACTCCAAATCTTCTAGAAATGCTCCTCTCACCCCACTCTCCACTTCATGGAGGCCCTGCCCAGAAAGCCACCAGACTTCATCTTCTCCCAGAGAAATGATGCTGCAGTCCCCCGCCCAGCAAGGGGACTCTGGACTTGGGAAGGCCCTGCACCGCTGAGAGGAGGCCCCATGCCCACCACAGCTGAGCAGGTGCCGCCCAGGTCCGTGGTTGGTTATGCCCCAAACTGCCCAGGAGCGGAGGAGGGCTCAGTGAGCACACAAGGCACAAGTCCCAGGCCACACACAGGGCCAGAGAGGGAGAAGAAAAGGAGCAGGAGCTCAGGGCAAGGCCAGCAGCCACTGGACTGTGAGGGGTGGAAGGAGCCTGGGGTGGGTGAGTGTAGGGGGTGGGAAGGGAGGGGAGGAGAGGGATGGGAAGCAAACTGGGGTCAGGGCTAGAAGCCACCTTCCCCTTCACAGCCACCCACAGAGGCCTGGGGCTACCTCAGCTGCACTGAGGGGACATCTGCCTCCACAAAGACCCTGCCCAGAACCCAGGCCCCATGCAGTACCCCTCTCCCATCACCAGGCTCCTCAGGGGCTGTCTGACACACTCCTCAGGAATTGTAGCAGGCCAGGTCACACCTGCTAAGCCTCTGTCCCCACCCTGACCCCCGCAGTGCCCACTTCACATGGTAGGTGTTCAACAAGCACCTATCAGCTCAAATGTTATCCGTGAGGACACTGTCACCCGCAAGCACATGCCCATAGCATGGCGTGGAAGGGGTGGTCCTGGGTACCTGGGACCCTGCGGTGGCAGATGTCCCTGAGAGAGGGGCAAGCGTGGGAGAGAGGGGCTCAGGGCTGTTACCTGTATCCTGTCTTCCGGCAGCTCCGTTTTCATGGCCAGCATCTCCCGGGCATAGACGTCTGGGTAGTGGGCCTCGTTGAACGCCTTCTCCAGCTCCTCGAGCTGGTAGGAGGTAAAGATTGTCCTGAGGGGAGCAACAGCGGACACTCAGGGCCCAGGAAACCGAAAGAGCCTGTCTCAGAGAGAACAGAGTGGCCCTCCCTTGCGCCTCCCAGACAGACCCCAACCCCAGGCTGGCTCTGCACAATTTGACACAAACACACCTCCTTTTTCTCTCTCTTTCTCTCTCACACACATATATCTACACACACATTCACAGCTTAACCCTCTGGACTCTCCAGCATTCAAAGTTGAGGGCCCACACTACACTTCTGGTGATGGGATGGGCATTACTTCAGCCCTCAGTGACATTTGACACTGGGAATCTTTCTGGAGGTGCTCTTGGGGAAAGGGTGTTGTTAGAAAGGAAATTTTTAAAAATGCAGAAAGCCTCCGTTCCTCCTCCTGAGCACAGAGCAGAGGAGCTCAGCAGATCAATAAACACCCTGGCCCCACCTGCACCTGCTTCCTGGGCTCCCCCCCCCCCAGACACTAGAGTTGGACGTTTTAATTCCACTCAAAGTTCGAAGATTCCCCAGAAAGACAAATGCAGCTTCAGCCTCCGGGTTGGTATGGCTGAGAACTGAATCCCCTGCTCCCTCAACTCCCCTTCATGCTCGCTCCCTCCTCTCCCCTGCCCTTCCTCTGACACCCTGACACCAGGGCAGACTCCAGCTCCCTAGAGCTGCCCTGGAGCCTTTCCCTGTCCCCTCCAGTGCTCAAGAGGCAAGGGCCACCTTCCAATCCTCCCATGCAGGCTCAGCCACTCGCTTGGGGAGGGGCCCATCCAGGCCACCCGGTGAGCCTCCTACCCCCACAGAGCAGTTCACGGTGACCTATTTTATGTCACAAACTGCTTTAAGAATCTGGTAAATGCTACGTTGTCCCGTCACTCCAGGAAAACGTGCAAAATGCATGTGCTCTTAACACATAAAATTTTGCCTCTGATATTAGGAGATTCATAGATGCTCATTTCCTGAATAAACCACTAAACATCTACATACAGACACACACTCTTCTCTTTTCAGACCTTAATGTCACCAGGTTTCAGGAGACTTTTATCCTGGACCCTCATCAACAAGCCCAGGGGCAGTATAGTCCAGTTTCCACAAACCGAACTCGTGAAACTGTTACATGCCTTGCTTAGCCCCTGGTCAGCTGGAGCCCGGGACCAGCACAGAGGTTTAGCACCCTTCACGGCTGTGCTCTCGCCCAACACAACCAAAAAGTACAAAGCTGAGCCCCACACATTCCTTGTCGGCTTTACTATCTTGGGGGATGATGCAGGAGGTGTGTGAGGAAAAAGGATTGTGCTCTTTATAGAAAATGACTGGTTTGATTCTTAATCATTTCTCCTATTCTCTTGGGGGGAATGTGGAAGGCTTATGTATACGGAGAGTTAACGCTTTAGAATTTTTAGGATCCCCTGCTTTCTATTTCTCACCTGCTGAAGGGCCTATAAACAAAGAGTCAAAATAAACAATAAAAGAACGCAAGTCCCTTTTAAGACCAGGGAAACTGAGGCACGCAGGCGAGGTGGTGTGGCCTGGCCAAAGCCACACAGGAGAGCTGATTATATGACGTTTAGAACTGTTCCAGTGCCAGCCTGTACTTGGGAGAGCCCGTATGAAAGACAACAACAACTCAAATCTTCCAAACTTCCCCTAATTCCTGCCTCGGAACTGGTTCCCTGTTGATGCCACATGCTCTCCAGTGACAGTCTCCTTCCTCCCCAAGGAGACCCAACCTCCGTTCCTGGCTGGTACAGAACCCCAGACCTGCCGGCTCTTGTAACCTGCCTGAAGAGGAGCTAAGCTGTCCAGGGAAAGAGAAGAGCAAAATCTGAGACTGTCACCATGGCTGCTTCACCCCCGCCCCACCGGCAAGTGCTTTTAAGCCTGGTTTGTTTCTGGGAGCTAAAGACAAGCCCATCTCTCATCACCAGATTCTGGAGTCTTTTACCCCAAACCCCCAAATGAGAGAAGCTCAGGAAAACGCATCATTTACTAATTAAGGACTGCACTGGTCATCAGCAGCCATTCTTCCCTCTGCAATAACCCGGTCCCTTCATGCACCAGAAATAGAAACCCAAGGCAGCTGATACCTAGGTGTTGTCCCCATGCTGTTCTGCACCCCTGGGAACCCACCAAAGCCCCCAAGATTTCCCTGGTGAAGAGGGTAGCAGATGACAACAGAGGGTTAGGGACCTGAAACATGGATTTTGGGGGATGGGTCACCCAGCTCCAAGTGCCACACAACGAGATGTCCTGATGCAGAAACATCCTTCCTGCCCCCAGGGTTTGGGGGTGCTTTTCCCAGGGCTCCCCATGCTAGAGAACCCCTCCCGACCGTTGTCGCGCCGGCACGGGAGGAGTCCCGCTGCTTTCAAGCTGCCCTTGTTCCTTGGGTCCCTGTCCCTGCTCGCAGAGGCCGACGGGATCACCCGCCCTGGGACCAGCATGAGATGGGTGCACAAAAAGTGTTTTAATGAATATTCGTTGAATGAATGAATGAATGGGTTTTGTTTTTGTTTTTAAAAAGGACCCAGGGTCGGGACTAGAAAAATAATGTTCCCGTTTAAAATGAAACAAACGAAACAAAAGCAAACAGCTGTCTGAAGGGAATGAGCCGGGATCCCTGGGCAACCAAGTTGAAGTTCACCTTCATTCCAACCAAAACCTGTCTGGGCCTGAGGGGTCAGGAGGGGCCGTTTTAAAAGATGGGGAGGACAGTGGAGCGTCCGAGGGCCAAGGAGGAGCGAAGCGCAGAAAAGAGAGGGTGCAGAGAGGCCGAGAGCAAACTGGGGTGACAGAAAAGGATGTAGCCGGGAGGGACGGGGCTCCCAGCAGGGACATGTCCCGACAGAGCGCCAGACCCTGCGGCCGCCCGGCCAGGACGGGACCGAGCGAGAGAGACGGGGAAGAACAGCCCCGAGGTGAGCGCGGGGCAGCGGCCGGGAGCAGCACGCGCAGAAAGGCAGGCCGATTTCTGGTTCTTGTTCCTTTATTTCCTTGAAAACCTTCCCACAGATTTACACAAGGAACCCGTGGCAGAGATGCGGTCGCGGAAGGCAGGGAGGGCCAGGAGGCGAGGGCGGGGGCGGGTGGATGGATTACTTTTCGGGATATGCCTATTGCACTTTAACTTCGCGCGAGCAAGGTCTGTTTAAAGACGTACGTTTTTAAAAACTCTCTTCAGTCTTCACCCCAATGCAGCGCACCCCACTCTAGCAGCTAGGGCTAGTGGGACCATCCAGTCCACAAACCCCCACCACCATTTTACAGACGAGGAGACTGAGGCTCACGGAAGGGAAGCGACCCGCTCGGAATCACAAAAACAGCAGCCGAAAGACGACGTTCCACGGGCGCAGATACTGCCCAAGCCCTGGGGACGCGGGAGCAGGAAGCTGGGGAGTTGCAGAGAGGACGGGACCGCGGGAGAGAAACGGCGCGGGGGGCGGGCAGAGGGGCCAAGGAACCGGCCCTGGCGCGAGGTAGGAGCGGGTCTGCCCGCCGCAGCGTGTCCGCGGCTCTCGGGTGTGCTGACGCGGGGACCTAGGGGCTGACAACCCCTCTCTAGCTCCGGTTTGGCCCGGGTTGGGGCCTGTCCTTTCTCCTGCGGGAGGAGAAAACCCGAACTGTGCCGCTTAGCGCGGCCACCCGGCGCGGCCGGACGCACGGGCCCTGGGCAGATGGCTCCCAACAACGCCTGGTCACTCCGCCCTCGCGTGGCCTCGGACCTCAGATCTGGGGTTGGCGAAAATAGGGTTTGAGTGACCCAAGCCCAGAACCGGGGACGGCAGGCGGGGACAGGAGAGGTAACAGAACGCGCTATGGGGGGGCCTTACCTGTGTCGCCGCTTCTTCCGTTTCTTGGTCTGGTTTAAAGCCGATTTGGACATTTTTCGATCACTGGAGGAAACATCTTCAGAATCTGAAAAGCAGGCGGAGGGACATGCGGCACAGTGGGGAGCGCGCTCAGCGGCGCAAGAAACCGGCGAGGGCCCCACCCCTGACCTCCTCCGGGAGCGCTGGGGGCCTGCTCTGACTCCCCGGGAAGCCCTCCGGAACCCCCGTGCCCATCTCCATCCCTAAACCCAGGCTGGCCTCTCCCTCGCCGGGGCTAGAATCTCGAGGTTTTGGACAGATTTCGTTGCAAGAGAGGCAAAGGCCCTGGCGCGCTTGGGGCAGGGACCGCGGAAAGCGAGGCGGCCTTAGGGGGTCGCAGGGACCCCCGGGTGGCGCTCCTGGCCTGCACCCTGCTCCGCGCTTGCAGCCCCAGCGCCCGGGGCCGGAAAGTTGGCCCCAAAGAGCCGAGCCCAGACTGGGGAGCTGGGCTCCGGGAAGCGCCGGGGCTGCTCAGGCACAGTCCCGTTAGCAGTGCCCGTACAATGCGCTCCCACTCGAGGCTGGAGAGCCTGCGAGGCGCCACTTTTCGTTGCAAATACAACGAAACGAAACGAAAAATCGGGGGAATTGCCAAGGGCGAACAAAAGCCGGAGGGCCGAGCAGGCCGGGACACCCCGGAAAGCCGCTCCAGGAGGGCGCGGGAAGGTCATCCAGGGTCTCCGAGCCCGCGAGTCCCCGGGCTTGGATATATTGTGGCGCTTACGTGGGATCGGATGGCGGCCGCTTCGGCTGCCGTGGTCGCTGGGTTGTTTGAGTTCTTGGGATGAAAAATAAACCCCAGCTGACCAATGCGGTGTTTTGGAATAAAGAAAGGAGAAAAAAGGCAACTTTGGACACCAAGGCTGGGGCCGGAGCCGGCGTCGGCATCCGCCTCCCAAGCGGCCAGCGCGCGGAACAGCATCCGGCTCCAGGAGCGCGGGTCCTCCTGGAGGCCCGGGCCGCAGTGGAACAGTGGAGCTGGGACCCTCCAACCCGTCTGGAGACCCTGCAACGCCAGCTGCGACACTCCAAACCCCGTTTCCAGTGGGGCCCTAGTAGGGCGCAGCGGCTAAAGTGGGCCAGATGCGGGGACCAGAGAACTGCGCGGTGGCCGGAAACGCAGGGGCCGAAACCTGGAAGGCGCCAGAGCATCCTCCTGGTCCGCGGCCCCGGGCGCATCGGCCCCAGGCCCTGTCTGCGACCCCTCGGCCTGGCATGAACTTTTCCGCAGGGAGGAGGCCTTGTCCCGCTGGCGAGAGCCGACGGCGCGGGCTCCCGGCTCTCACCCCCTGTCAGGCAGCCGCGCAGCCTCGCCCTCACCTACCCGAGCTGGCCGTCTGGCTGGTGTCCAGCGGCCCCGATGCTCTGCCCAGTGGCTGCAAGTGGACGCTCTGCGGGTCGGACAGCACTTCCAGGAAGGTGGGCTGCGCGTAGAAGCCGGGGAGCCCCCCGGGCCCCAGCAGCCCCATGCCACCCACTCCTGCGGGACTGAGCACTGAGCGCGCTGCCAGCAAGTGCCCAGGGGCGAGGCCGTCGAGGGCAGCCCGCGGGTGGGAGCTGGGGGGCTCCTTGTTCAAGCCCAGGATCTCCTGGATGCCGAACCCGGTGCACCTGGCCGGGGCGCCCCCCGAGGTACTCTTGGCCACTGTCTCAGACTTGGGCTTGCTCAGCGCTTCCCCCGCTTTCCCCGTCATCTCCCGGTTCTTTGGAGGGGCTGAGACCGCAGGTCTGTAGCTCCCCCCACCCCCCCGCCGGGCTCCCCGTTTAGCGAAGTTGGTCCCAGGTGCCCCCTCCGGTATCTAATGCTCTGGAGCCCCAAGGAGATTCCCCTTTTATCCAACCAGGCGGCAGCCCAAGTGGGGTCAGAGCTGAGCAGCCAATCACCGGGGCCAGGAGCGATTAGGAATTCCAAAAAGCTGGCAGCTCCCGCTGCAGGCTGTGCCGAGGGGCCAGGGCGCTGCGGGGTGAGCACCGGGTGGGCTTTCCAGGATGCCCACTGGGCAGGGATCCCAGGGGCCAAGGTGAGACAACAAGGTTCAGGGCTGTTCCAGGAGGCAGAGTGGCTTGGGCTTCGGGTAGATCCTGGCTGGGACATGTCCCTGGCTTGGCCAGGACAGATCCCTGGAGTGAGGTGGCAGGATGGGCTAAGGGCAGATGCTAGAGACTGGGAGACCTGCTTCCCTCAACTCCTACACAGGTCGGCAGAATCACAGAAGCCCAAATATGGGACTCCCATTCAAAAGATAGAACAGGGGAAGGGCAAGTTCCCCGAGCAGTATGTGGTGGCAATGGGGCCCAGGTGTGGAGAGGGAGATGTGGAAGTGGGGGAAGCTGAGGGCTTATCTCCCCAGCTGAGGATACAGTGCCTCCTTCAGAAGAGCTACTCAAGCGTTGGCCCAGTGAATGGTGAAGGGGTCAGGGTTACAGGTCGCTGCTGAGAAGGAGGAGCAGCAATGACTTCTTTTGGAGAACAGCCATGGACATGGGAACATCTTCCTAGAGTAAGCACGAAGTGTGCCCAGCTTCTGTGGCAAGGACTTTATTTATTCTTCCATCCATTCGTTCAACTAATACCTATTGAGCACCTACTAGCTCTGAGCGGAGCGAGGGGTCCGCAGTAAATCAGACAAGGCAAGGGGCCTGCTGTACTTCAGAGTTCATTGAGCAAACAGAATGGAGAGGCCAGGATTGTTGGTGGGAGGGCGAGGGGGGAGGAAGGGCTGAGTGGCAATTAGAAGGTGAGCTGCCTCCCCAGTTGGACAGTCTTCTCTGAGCCACTTCTGCACTGGAAGCTGCAGAAGTATGGCCAGTGGTGCCAGTTGAAAATCCAGAACAGGCAGCAGGAAATATTGCTCCAGGCAGGCTGGGGCCTTTGTCACCTGGATAGGAGAGCTAAGCCTGAATTCCAAAGATGACAGTGGAGCCACTGGTTTCCCACAGCACTCCTACTTGAGGACTCAGAGGAGGGACAGCCCCCTTGGGCTGAAGTGTCATTAGCAAAGGTGATCTCACATACACACACACTCATGTCACAGACCCCTAAGTCCCTGCACTCCACCACTTCAGCTAACCCTTCTTGGCCTCCCCTCTCCACTGTGCCTAGCATACAGTAGGCCTTTAATAAATGTTCCTTGAATCAAAGGCACTCTACAGGGGAGATAAGGATAGTCAGTTGCTTTGAGCAGAGCATGTAAAACCAGGCCAGGAAGAGAGTCCATTCAGGATTTCTTGGCCAGTCACTGTAAACCCGCAAACATAGAGAACCCCCCTAGCCATGCCCAGCCCACTGCCATGGTGTCTGGTACCCTCTGTGGCTGCCATGGGGCAAGACTGAGAAGTAAGAGGAGACCCTGTAGGATGTGGGAACTAGGCCTTGCTAACAGGGCTGTTGTGAGGTGGGTCTCCGCCCCCTCTGTTCTTGTCCACGTGAGAGCTGGAATTAGGTAGGGCATCTCACCGAGCAGGTTTCTGGAAGAGGTGAGCCATTCACTCCAAGGGCTGCCTCCTTATCCCACAATAAGGCCATGCCTACTGTGTGCTTACATTGTCCTAGCCCCTTTACATGCTTTACATGGGATCATCTCTGGTCCTCACACCAATTGTACTAGCACATCTGAAAGTTAGCATTGCAATTCTCACTTGCAAGGTGTAGACTCAGGGATATGCAATCTCAAGGCATCCTTCACCTTGTATGCTGTGGAACTGAGTTCCAAGTAACACCACTGACATAGACAACAATGTGAATGGTGCCCCCTGGAGTTGTGCAAAGTGGCAGCCTTGTCTGCCAGAAAAGAATTTCTATCCCTGTTTTATGGATGCAGAAACTTAGGTTCCCCAAGAGGTTACCTAGCTAGTAAGTAGCAGAAGCCAGAGGAGCCAACCTCGCATGAGTCTGCTGTCAGAAGCTGTTCTCTTGTGACTCCATCCCTCAGTCAGCCCCTTCTCTGTTCCAGCCTGCCCTGGGAGGATGGATGGGGATGCTATGTTAATGGCATCTGTCATGTCCCTGACTTATCACGAGACATCCACGATGAGCCAGATGCCAGCCGATGGGCAAATGTGAGTGATGGAAAACAAGTGTGTGAGTGATGAAGTCGGCTCTCGCCAGGAGATGAGGATGAAAAATCTCTTGACCAAACCCCATGTCTGAAGCTGCCAGTTCCCAATCCCCGGGAGACAGCCACCATTCTGCCCAAGGACGTTGGGGACAGCAGCAACCCCAGGCCCTCTGAGAGGCACCTTTGCTGAAAGCTGCAGTTGGAGGGGGGACCCGGCATCAGCCTGCAGCCATTCCCACCCTGGGAGCTGGACTCTCCAACAAATTGCTGACTGGGAGCTTTTGGGATATCACTGTTACTATTCCACAGCTGCCCAACTTGGGCCAGACCAAGGCTTAAGATATTTGTGGGTGACGGGGGATCCCTGCAAGGAAAGGCAGGCCCCAGGGGCTGAGGGGAGTGCAGTGGCATTTAGCTTGGTCATACTGTACCCAAATCCTGGGTCTTCTTGAGCCAATCATTTAACTTCTCTCTTAGTATTGACTGCTTTACATATAAAACAGCCTGGTAACGGGGTTGTGGAGCATCTCTTGAGCCTTGAGTTAGCACAGGGGTCAAGGGCATGGTCTCTAGAGCCAAAGTGTCTGGGTTTAGACTTCCACACTATCCCTTGCTTGGTGACCTTGGGAAAATTACCTAACCTCTTTGTGCCCTCTGTGCCTCAGTTTCTTCATCCATAAAATGGGGATAATGGTAGTATCTATAGCTTAGAATTGTCATGAAGATTAGAAACATACAGAGCGGAAAACAGTAAACAAGGCTACGCCATGAGTGTACAAAATGAGGCTACAAAATAAAGCTTCCATGAATGTTCATTCCTACTAGTAGCACGCAGGAGGATCCTGTACTCAGGACTGGCAAGTACTAGTTCCTGCCTTCTCGGAATTTGGGCCAGTGATTGGAGTAGGTGACATTTTCAAAGTACTTAGCATGGTACCTGGCCCTGAGCACTCAATACATCATGGCTCTTACTACTACTGTTAGCGGGTGCCAGTCCCCTTGTCACATTTAATCTACTCAACTTCTCCAAGAGGTCAGGAGTTCTGTCCCCCTTGTCACAAATAAGATGCTAAAGCTCAGCAAGGGTGATCGGGGGAGGGAGGGTGCTGTCTCTCCCCTTTGCCTTAGTGCTGGTCACTTTCAGCACCAGCTGCAGGCCAAGTCATTCTCCCCTGCTAGCCGCCTCCCCGAGTCACCACCCAGCCGTCAGCAACAATATTTGGGGAGGGGTTGGAAAATGCAGGGAAGAGAAAGGATCTGTGTTTGAATCAATAATCCCATTATGAATCTGTCACCCATGAATGTGTTTCACTTTTTTTAATGCGCCTGTGTGTATTTTGGGCTTACCCCTGGGAGGTGAACCTTATCTTTCGTTGTGCTGGACATTTCTCCGGAGAGAGTCTCAGGATGTGCCCACCCCGAAGGTCCTGCTCTCGCCTCTTCCCCTCATCAGACATGGATTGGATATTTCATTCCCTTTGTTCAGTAAAGAGGCTTACACTGCCAAAAAAAAAAAAGGAGGGATTCTGATTCACATTTAACTCACACACCCTGAACATTTATTACCTTCTGGATTTTTTTACATTGTGTCAGTGAATCCTTCCAACTACTCTGAAAGACATGTATCATTTTTCAAAAGAGAAAGCAACCTCAGAGAGGCTGGGTGACCTCCCCAAGAACACACAGCTGCCAAGCGCCAAGCTGGGAGTCCAAATCCACTACATTCTTGTTTTCTTGAATATTGAGCCAGAACCTCAAGCAGAAGAAGGGATCCTGGGCATGGGGAGGCAATTGATGCCCCCAAATGCTTACTACCATCCTCCCCACCAAGAATGGGGGAGAAGAATGGAAGGGGTCCCTAGGCGGGTGGGAGGGCTGCTAAGGTCAAGGCTGGGGTGCATCCCCAGAACTCAGGGCTGCTGGGAGCACCTTCCCTCAAACACCTGGGCCTGTTTTTTCTCCCAGTTCTCCAAGGGCCCAAGGAGTAATCTATGCCCTTTAGAATTTTCTTAGAGGGCTCCAGGAAGTGGGAGGAAGAAACAGGCTCTTGGTAATGCCTCCAGCCAGCCTTGTAGAAGGCCCTGCCTCCTGTCAGTCACCTTCCAAGTGCCACCTCTAGCTAACCTGAGGGTCTCATCCCAGCAGAGTATCACCTGACAGCTTTCAGCTGCCACAACTCCCTGCATCCCCCCTCCCTCAGCATTAACCCTTCCTCAGTCTCTCAAGGGAAAATAAATACACCCTGCACATGTGTCCTTGTCTCTTCTGCTGTGTCCACCTCCAGGTGGAGTGGAATGACAGAAAGAAGCAAGCCATGGAGGACTTGCTCCATTACCAGCCTGCCGGCTGCCTCTGGGCTGTGCCTCAGTTTCCCCTCAGTCTCACATGGTGGGAATGCAACATCACTGACGTCTGAGAGGGTGTGTGTTCTGTTTTACCTCATAGGACTGTCGTAAGACAATCTGGTCAACTATCCCTTCAACAAATATTTTTTGAGCACCTCCTATGTGCTATTCTTGTGCTACTATTCTTGTTGGGAGGATACTGTGGGGTAAAAGAAAGCAAAGCCCCTGTTCTCATGGAAGCTATATTCCAGTTGTGGGAGAGACAGTTAACAAACAGGCAAGTAAATAAAC